GACTCTAGTAGGGGGAGCCATCACCCCTCGCATGAATGTTTCATGGCAGGTACCCCCGAGGGATACGTCGAAAGCATCCACGAGGGAGAGGCTACCCCAACAAATGACCTCGACGAGGAGGTCGAGGGGGATGCAGGGGCCCCACCTCGCCTATAGGTAGAGCAGCTAAGGGCCCGACACCAAGAGATCTAGGAAGCTCGACTCTAGCTCGAGTAGGAACGCGCGGAGCTTGAGCGAGAGATCGAGCGCCATGGAGACGATGGGCGCGCGTGTCGTGGCCCACGACGTGAACCGAAGGATCATCAAGGATGACAAAGCCTTCCCACACTTCACCTGAGCAAGCCAGAACATCGCTGATATGGCGGCCTTGCTCCGAGGGCTTCCAGGGCCTGCGACACCCAAGGACCATCGGGCCCATCATGAGATTCGCACGTTACTTGAGCATGCGGTGGCACAGTAGGCCAAGAGCTCACTGTTCAGACGACACGAGCTCGATGCTAGCCAGCGCACGCTCTCAGAGTGACCCGACAAGAACGTGTTAGTCCACCAGGCGTAGCAAGGCGGTAGGCCATGCACTGCAGTCCCAGTGCATGAGCGTCTCGGCCTCCACCGTGACACACGCGACACCCTCGACGCCCACAGGTGTGCCCGCGGCGATGCGAGGGAGGAAGCTAGCCACGGCTACCACCCTCGTCGTGGTGGACGCTATGACAGTGGCGAGGACCGAAGCCCGAGCCTCGACTTGCCAGGACCTCAGGCCTTTGGCTGGCATATCCTCAACGCCGTCTTCCCACCGTGGTACCGACCATCGACCAACATCCCGAAATACTCTAGAGAAATGAACCCCAGACTGTGGCTCAAGGATTACCGGCTTGCTTGCCAAGTCGGTGGAGCAGATAGTGATGATTTCATTATCCACAACCTTCCATTGTTCCTGGTGAATTCGGCGCGAACGTGGTTGGAACACCTTCCGCCTAACCGAATCCAAAGTTGGGGCAGACCTAAAAGAGATCTTCATGGGAAACTTCTAGGGCACATACGTGTGCCCTAGGAACCCGTGGGATCTCAAGAACTACCGACAGAAATCCGGGGAAACTCTTCGTGGGTACATCCGGTGCTTCTCCCGGCAGTGCAACGAGCTGCCCAACGTCGCCGACGCCGACGCCGATGTCATAGGAGCTTTCCTATCTGGGACCACCTGTGAGTCCCTGGTTCACAAGCTAGGACGTAAGGGCTCACGAACCACCATGGAGCTCCTCGACATCGCCACCAGCCATGCCTCGGGCGAGGAGGCGATCAGGGCAATTTTTGACCGCCTCAAAGGCAAGGCAAAGCGGGACGAGAACGCCGGCGAAGGTGCCTCCAACCACCCCAATAAGAAGAAGAACAAGCAGTGGCGTGAGGGCCCACTCGTGGCCACTGCCGACCGCAAGGGGGTCGAAAGCCCATCGAGGGTACCCTAGACCACTTCGAGAAGTTACTCGAAGGGCCATGCCCGAACCATGCTTTTCTCGTCAAGCACCTATACAAGGACTGCATCCTCATGAAGCGGTTCTTGTCCGGAGGCTCCAACAAGGGGGAGAATAGAAAGGAGCCCAAGCCAGCCACAGACGATGCTGAGGGGAAGGATGGTGGATAAGTGCACAGCATAGTCCAGTCAGTGTAGCCAGGGCATCATGAACAGATTCCTCAAGAGGAAGGTAGAGCCATATCTATCCAAGAAGAAAGACCAAGTAAACAATTATGCTACTTGACCAATGGATAAAGTATAGATCTCATGGCTGGCTACTATTCAACCTTGGCATTGGGGATCAGGAATGGGGTCAAGTATGGACTATGGCTAAGGATGGGGATCAGGAATTTCAAAATCCTACTCTTTATCATAGCCATCCCTTAGATTATATATAATGAAGAAGAAAGGAGTGATTCCTCAAGTAGATTTATGTTTTTGCTGAATGAATAAATATGATATGAGATGGAGGGTCACACTTACGATGGCATGCACTGCACTTCGAGAGGAAGGGGTCTTCGGTTCGCATTCTGTTCATCGTTGATAACTGTTCCTAGCGCTAGTTTGTGAAAAATCCCTTGCTTCTTCGGTTCAAACAGGAGGAGAGGAGTATGCATCCCGTGCCAACTACATAATGCCTGATGGCCAAACAAGGCTTCTGACTATGAAAGACACCACCCTAGCAGGGAAAGGCGTGAAGCGTAAAAAGCAGCTAATCTGGAAGTCCGGTAGTAATCGAAGTAATCCGTCAAGGTGAGCCAAAGAAGGGTCTCAGGAACCGATAGATCTAAGAATTGGCAATCTAGAAGTGGGTGTCAGAAAAGAAGAGACAAGACTTTCCCTCATTCATTCCTTAGATTAGGACGAGGAAGCTTCCTAGAGAGTAGTTAACCCGGGTTAGCTTTGATGGACTACTTACTAGCAGGGTATTCATATGAGAAAAGGTTGTTCGTGGATAACAGTTATATTTCTTTACTTGACCCGTACTTCCTTCCCTTAACCTGATCCAGCTAGTCTTTCCTAAGAGATAGGAAGCGGAGAAACTAAACAGGGGATAGCTCCATCCATCTTGCTTGTGCTCATTCTATCACAAAAGAGATTTTTTACTTTTGCCATACGGTGATCATACTTTTTTCATACAATTGGAAAGTCTACCGAGGGGAAGGTAGGACAAAAACACAGTGTTTCCTACTTTTGTCACTTTGAAAAAAGTCTTTATTAGGGAAATTGATGAGTAGGCGCGCAGCGACGGGGTTTCCTACTTTTAGTATTCTACCATATGCCTCGTTTTTTTTACTTCTACTATTGGTTTTTCAGGCTGTGAATTAGCAATGAATCCTGACAACTTCAACTCTTAGTTATACACTCACCTCTACTACATAGTAGATAATCAAAGTGTCAGCTGCTTGTACCAGTCATTTATGTGTCGTAATTGTACTCAATTGTCCAAGAAGACTGCACGAGACACCAAAACACATCAATGTTGTTTTTCATGTACTGCCTCTTCTAGATTCGATTGCTGTCTCCACATTTCTTGGCCAAAAGGCTTGAATTCTTCTCATCGTACACTAGGTTGTGGTATTTCATTGCTACAAACATGGGTTATTGTAAAATAAGACATGTCATTTGGATACTTCTCTTCAACTTCGAAGTATTTTTATACAAATAGTTGAAGTGAATTTTATGAAAGAAAATAAGGCGTATTATGGGAGTGTGTGACTTGAATTATTGATTTGGCCATGCAGATAGAGAATTGGATCTGCCACATTAGAATTCACGACCAAAGGTGTCTCCGCATCCAATCAACACGTAAGTCCCCTATCTAGGAAGGATAGGCTAGTTCACTCGAGGAGAATATTTTCTATGATCATACCCCAACCATGTCATCCATGAATAGGCTTCGTAAGATCCTATAGAGTATAAATGGAATAAGTCATGTGGTATGATCCAATTCTATTTTTATTACACCTACTTTTTGTTATAGTATGGAAATGCATTCATTTTCTTTGCATCAATTTTGATCCACAATACTATCGGAGTAAAAGAAGGGATCTAAGGAAGAACGCAGGCTAAACTTTTTGATTTTTTATTAGTAATAAGTAAATACTTTGTTTGGACATAAGCAACTTGCGATATCGAGGGGATAAACACCAACTAATCAAGAGACAATCCACAAAGCAATTGATCATGATCAAATTTGTAAGCCCACTTGGATATTGAGCATTTAAGCATAAGAATAGGATTCTTTTCAGTGAGTAGTTATAGGCGCAACTTCGGAAAAGATAATTTGATAAAGCTTTTCTTACATTGAGTCATTGAGTCATTATATACCCTATTCTCTCGAAGTATGAGATCCTGAATGCATCCTCTTTCTTTCCACTTCATCTTGGGAATCTGGAATGGTTGTTTATGGCATACTCAAAATCAGACAGCTCCTCCCGCTCTGCCTAACCTGGGTATAGATAGAACGTTGGTCCGTGAGGACAACTATAGTACGCCCCTAGTTCTAGTTAAGTATGTCTTATTGACCGAAAGTAAGGATAAGCAGAAGAAGCAACGAGATAAAGCAAACAGGATGCAGGTTTTGGAAAGAAGGAACAATCCTAGTCCGAAGGCAAGGACAGAAACAATAATATTTGTTGTTGGCCAATGCCAATATCAACAACAAGATCTTTGAGAATCTTTGAGAATCGATGGAGCTACCTATCTACACAGCAAGCTTCTTCAAACAGGTCATTGGACATCACCCTCACTTCTTCTAGAAGGAAAGCGCGTTAAGAGGTAAATCGTACCTCAAGTCAAAGGGCCTTGTTATAGTTGGAGGCAACACACGCTGAACTTAACTTGTCTATTTTGTGTAACTGGTTGAAACTACTAATTTTCAGTTCATCTTACGATGGTATACGGTGACAGGCCAACCTTCTATACTAGTGTGCAGGAGGACGAAGCAAAAATTAGGAAGCCCTACACTTTAATCGGAGCGAACTTCACACTCGAACTTGGATAGAGCAAATAGATCAAATAGGCTCAGAGAGATACAGGGCATAATCAAAGAAAAAGAACCGTTGCAGTGGCAAGTTAGCAAGTGGGTGTTCCATAAAAAAAACAGGATTCTTCCGAACTCAACTCCGTGGCCAAAACCATCTTCTCACTCTAACCCCCACGTATCACAGCCTGTTCGTTTGGCTGTGGCTTGTCGTAAACGATCGTAAATTTCTAGCTGAAACAGTATTTTCTCTCACACAAACCAGTCAGCATTACTTCTTCACGAACCAGCAACGAAACGAACCAGTCAAACGAACAGGCTGGAGATCCCAGATGCCACCCAACGATGATGGGACTTTCGCGCAGGCAATTTTCATTCGATAAGCGGGCCAAAAACACATGGGCCTTGTTCACTTGGGCCCAACATGAGGCTCCTGACCTCCTAGTTCCCTTCTCTTCTTCTGACCCGGGGCGGCGGACGAGGCCGAGGCCACCGACGGCGACGATGGGCGGCGGCGAGGGCAAGTCCAGGAAGCGCCGTTCTTCTCCCTCCTCAGGTACCCAGCCACCCAGGGATTCCTTTCGTATCCCTTCTGTGGTTCAACCCATCGGTTCGTTTTGCTGCGGACCGTTGATTTCTTTTCTTGCTTTGGTTCAGGGGAGGAAGAGGGTAGGGAGCGGAGGAGGCGGGACAAGAAGGAGAGCAGGAGGAGCGGCCGAGACGACAGGGAGGATGACGACGACAGGCACAAGAAGAGGAAGAAGGGGAAACACAGCGACAGGGACAAAGGCAAAGGTTGGGCTCCTAAATCGTTACAGCTTCCGGTTCTTTTATTTCGTCGACATTTCAAGGATGCTTTGTCCAAAAAAAAAACATTCCAAGGATGCTAAATCGTCACAGCTTCGGTTCTCACTTTCTGAAACAATACGCTTATTTCTGTGATTTTGAACCTCAGCGTGTTAAGTGCATTTCTGCTAGCTCCATGTACACTAGGTTATGTGAAATTAAGTGTTGCTAGCTTGTGATTTTGATGTATGTTTCTGTGTTACAGAGAGAGATTCTAAGGATAGGCATTCTAAGGAGAAGGAGAAGGAGAAGGAGAAGAACAAGAGAAAAGACAAGGACGCTGTAAGTTGTCTAACGAGTAACGATATATTCAGACTCAGTTTTGTTGGGCAGTGCCAAGTAAATAGTTTACAGTGGAGTATTCAATTCCTCCTGAATTACTGAGGCTTGCTACCTCTTTAGGGCTGCGTTTTTCTTAGATAAATTGTTGTAGAAGATTGAGCTTGTCATGGGTTGATAATGGGATGGTGCTCTGAAATAGAACCGAATTGATTTGTGTTGGCTTGCCTTGCAAGTTAAAGTGTATAACCGAACTTGACACTTATCGGGACATCTTGAAAGAATGAACCAAGGTTAACACATCGCAAATTTCTCCAATTCTCATAGCCATAGTATGGTCCTTTAATGTTGGCCTCAATGGAAACTTGCTAGAATCTATTTCTCATCCGTTGGCTGAATAGGAGGTGAAAACTTGCCAGAATTTGTTCTCCTATGAAGGGTGATTTGAAGACATGATTTCATGTTACCATTCAACTTTTTCTGCTATATAGACTATAAGTGAATGAAATATTAATACGCAAATCCCTGGAAACAAATCAGTAAGAATGGTGTGCATGCCTAGCTTAAAATGCTAGTTGCATGACATATATCTTTTTTTTATCATCGAATTTCTAGAAAAGCAGCGATGTGATATTTTTTTATAATAAAATAAAAGTAGCAAGTTGCTAAGAAAAAAAGAACAGAAATAGCGATTTGACTTTATTTGGCTAGACTAATAGGTTCTGTATATTGTTGCAAAAGACTGGAGTGACTGACATTCACTGAATTCGTGTCTTCCTTTCTTCGTCGCTAAGCGTTGAATTATCCTTGTTTCTCATTTTTACCACTTGCTGAAACTGAAACAGGCCTTCAAAGAAATATCCAAGGATGACTATTTTGCAAAGAACAATGAGTTTGCTACCTGGTTAAAGGAAGAAAAAGGCAAATATTTCTCGGATTTATCTTCAGAGTCTGCTCGTGATCTGTTCCTAAAGTTTGTGAAACAATGGAACAAAGGAAAGCTGCCATCACAATACTATGAGGGGATTACGAGTGGTCCACGTTCAGCGCACAATTGGAACATCAAAGCATGATACATTTTCTGTTTCATCGGGTCCTTCAGCTTGAGACATTTTGTGTTCTCCTGGCGAGATTTTCTTATAGTTGCATGTGGCAACAGCTTTTAATGTTCTAGGTTATTGTATTTAAGTTGATGTGCATAATGTGTGTCTAAGGCAGGAAGGTAGATCGTGGGTCTCTCTAGTATCCAGTGTTTAACATTAATGCTAGTTTTTCAATGATCAATACTGTTAGATCTGTTTCTGGGGGAAAGATGTGTTCTGATGTTAAGTGCCAAAATATACTAATTTTCTTGCAATGCTGATTGCTAATATTTTCTACAGCAACCTTACATGAGGTAGATCCCCCTTCCCTCATTTATTTCTTTATTTATTATGGGAGTGTGATGCAAAGTTCTCTGAGTGTATCATAATTCACCAGACAAATTGTAGAAAAAATCTTTCACAGCTCCTGATATTGTCCCCTGACGTATCAGCTTAAAGTGCAGTTGCGAATGCCATGGCTTTGCTTTGTTTTCTACTTGTTCCAGAACTATTTCTTTATTATCTGAAAGGTTGGCTTAAGATGCCAAGTTAGGAATTCTCACATATACGTAGAAAAGATGTTCCATCCTTGGATTGGATTGTCATAAGGTTCACTAAACATTGTGCGCATTTATCAGTCCATGTACAATTTAAATATTTTTATCAGTCAATGTTCACTTTAAATATTCTTTTGATCTGTTACGAAACAGTGAGACCTTTAGATGCACCAGTGCATTGTGGAGTCTTAAGCCAAGCTAATAATGTGTGGAGAGGTAGAGGTAGATCGAAATTGACATGGGGGAGACACTAAAAAGAGATTTGAAAGCTTGAGATATACCTAGAGATCTATATTTGAATAGGAGTGCTTAGAAAGCAACTATTGATGTGCATAAACCGTGACTAGGGGCTCTTAGTGGATTTCAACTCTAGCATATCCCAACTTGCTTTGGGACTGACATGCTTTGTTATTGTTATTGTTATTACGAAACAGTGTCTCTCAACAGACACCCCTACGGTGATCTCATCGACAGATGCCACCAACAGACACCCATCAGTACAAGATTAGTGGATATGATTAGACAGTTAGTTTTACTCTCAAAAGACATGTTTTTTGGGAACAGTTGGGTATGTCTTTTAGGAACAGTAATGTCCCTTCATGACACCATTTCTCTTGTATAAATATATTTTAGAGATCAATGAGATAGTTCTTTCAAATCTTGTTCATTTATATTCACTTCTAACATGATCTTCGAATTCCAATTTGTAAGAGTTTGGTACTTCTTGGATTCGAAAAAAAAAAGTTTGATAATTCTTGCAATTTCTTCGACATTGAAAATACCTTTTTAGTGAATCCGAATATCAGATGGTGCAATCTCTCTGTATAAACGCATGAGTCCCCTGTTTGCTCACTATGCACAGTAATAACGTTGAACATTCTAAACAACAATAACAACAACAAAGCCTTTAAGTCCCAAAGGTAAGCTAGAGTGAATAGCTGTTTTCCAAGCACTCCTATCTAAAGCTAAGTCTTTGGTTATATTTCATCCTTTTAAATCTCCTTTTATTACATCTATTCAAGTCAACTTCGGCATCTGCCTCTCTTCACGTTATTATCCTAACTTATGATTCCACTACGCATCGATGCCTCTAGAGATCTTCGTTAGACATGTCCAAATCATCTCAACCGGTGTTGGACAAGCTTTTCTTCAATTGGTGCTACCCCTAGTCTATCACGTTGAACATTCTGAACCATTCGCAAAAGGACCAACAAATTTGCATACCAAGGAATCAAAAAGTGATATTTAAAAAGAAGGAAATCACAAGATTACAACTACAAAGAGATAATAAAACTTGACCACGTCATTCACAGGCTCGGATTTCCCAAGCCCTTGGCAAATCCTAAAACTAATTTATTCCATGCGATGAACCTTGCCAATTCGTCACAGCAGGTCTCCAGACCAGAAGCAGTGATAAAGCTTGAAACACAGGTCCTTGGTGTTCAGAAGACACTCTGATTTCTTCAATGGTTGTCTTCTTCTTCGCAGAATTTTGAGTACTTCCCATCATCCATGAGCGAATTGAGCTCACCTGAATCGCTGAGCTTGACCTTGATAATCCATCCCTTCTCATATGGGCTTGCATTCACCTAACCAGAAGTGATAATCATTGACTAATCTACCCATGGAAGTTTGTTTTCAGATGAGTTCTGGCTAATATGAGTTGCAACACTTACCAATCCAGGTTCCTCGCTTAGTTTCTCATTCACTTCAACTACCTCTCCAGATACTGGTGAGTTGATATCACTGGCTGCCTTCACACTCTCAACGGCACCAAAGTTCTTTCCCTGGGATACACTGACGCCAACTTCTGGCAACTCCACATAGACAACATCACCCAAATGATCCTGGAAGCCAAAATAAATAAACAAATTTTAAGCAATGCAAACTTTGATGCTGTATACTGAACATGATATAATATATTGGAACTTGATGTCTAGCCAACAGATTGCATGCATTATATTTATCAGTATAGATAAGAACGACAGCACTGGATAACCAAACATATCGAGGGCATAACACCTAGAATTGCCTCACACTCCAAATTCAGTGATAGAAATATGTGAATGTATGTATGAACCTGGGCATGGTCAGTAATCCCCACGGTTGCTGAATCACCCTCAACCTTCACCCATTCATGGGTGTCAGCATACTTCAGATCCTTCAGCACTGAAAAAGGGGTAACATGAGAAAAATTTAGAGCACCAGAAGTTGTATGCATTGAAGTGGCATTGCGGGGGCAACAATGCACACAAAAAGTACCAGAACCAACCCCAACCAGTGACTTCTCGAATCTATCATTTAAGTCTATCTGATACAAAAATAAATATATCTCTTACAAATAAAGTTTTCTCAGCCACCTTTCACAGTTACAGAACAAACCCACAATAAAAATCTGTGTTCCTGAGACCATCTCTTCTGCACCTGTACTGAAGCACAAATTTACTAAAGGCTATCTATATTCATATAAAAAAGATTAATTTCAAGTTGTAATACATTGCCTTCCTCATCCACATCTAACACAAAAATAAATGTGAGAAATTAATCTTCCAAATACATTAGCAGTGTAACATATAAGATCCTTTTCTTTTTCATACACGTGCTGTCACCATGAATGAATGAAACCACTCCGGAAGGATAAAGCATCCATATTCAAAAAGAATAAATAAGGAGCGGCGGCGGTTAAACCCCGTCGTAAACCCCCATTCCCTGAACGTATCCGCCGCCTGATACGAAAAAATTGCAAAAATGACACTCGAAAGATTGACTCTCGATTACGATAACGCTCGAGTAGATGACAAGTGGATCCATCTATGTCTATAAATATGTCTATGAATGTGGCTCCAGTGTCAAATCTTTAAACGAACGATGTTTCGAGTCCCGATTGCAAATCGCCTGATAGGGCGCAGAGCTGTGTCCCAACCAGGAACAGTTCCACAAATCCGATCTATACGCGCGCGAGACAACAAGACGGTGCCGTACCAACCGCAAGGAGCCGTGATCCGACGAACCAGAGCGCCAGAAACAGAGGATGAGAGGTAGGGAAAACGTACCGGTGGAGAAGGCCCTGGGGAAGGTGGAGATCCTGAGGTAGGCGGCGGCGCGGGACGCCCACAGCAGCCGGGAGGAGGCGGCCATGGCCATGATCCGGGAGCCGGCGGACGAGGAGAGGAGAGGAGAGGGATTGGATGCTCGGCGCCGCCTCCTCTCTCTCTCTCTCTCGCCGAGTTCGTTCCGCTCGGTGGTGTGATCTGGTGGCCTCGTTTGGCCTTTTTTCTGCGGAATTGCGAAAAATATAATAGAAAATGGAGAAGGTTGGTGGTGCGCCTCCAAATTGCGAAAACTAGTACGAGTAGTAGAAAAATGGGCCCTTGTGGGCTTTTCAGTATTTGCCCTTTATGGTTTGCAATTTGACCCCTGAGTTCTGGTGATATATGCAAAATGCAGGCTCGCCCTTCCGTTTCAGCAAGGAAAGAAAGGTTCAGACTTTCAGAGTTTCACTTATCAAGCTTCGATCCCTTTTCCTCGTGCCAATTTGTGCAGTTGCATCACCGACTTGGCGTCAAATTCTGTATCCAATGGACGCCATTTGGCGCTGGTTTGAGGCTCAAATAATCACCAAATTAAACTGAAACTTTTTTCCCCGGAGGACCACCAAACGCTGCAGCAACGCAGCCTTGAGGTTGGCCGAGGGCGTCACCAACCAACAAACCCAAAAAAGATTCAACAACTACTCCCACTTCGTTGTTGCTAATTGCTACTCCACTGCTGTAGGTTAGTCGGCATCGGCGAATCACGGGCTGGGGTCGGGACATCGGCGTGCGTAAACAATCCAGCGAGGACACCGGTGCTCTCTGACACTGATCGGACTTCTGAACAGCGGTTGGTGGCTGATGCAGACTGCAAAACAACAAACAGCTGCAGACTGCAGTTGGTAAGGGGATCTATTGCAAAATAAACCATTGACGAATGTAAGACCCAGCAATGGTACTGTTGTGGCAACCATGTATTTCCGTTTTACCCAAATAATCCTCCTGCTTACAGATTTTAGTAGTCCACTTAAACTGCAGTTCTTGACTGGTTTTGTGTGGCTTAGAACATGCCGTGGAAGCTGAGCTTTGTATTTTGTTTTATTTTGGAAGATTGGTTCTTCACTACTTACAATTTTCTAAAAACAGTATGTAGGGTTCACTGTGAAAACAAAAGAAAAGTTTACCAATAATACAACTCTACAAGACATTGGTAAGCCTAACAAGCGCACACACGCCAAGTATAGAAGTACTTAAGCACATGAAAAACTCGCTACCTAGGCGATTCGTCTATTTTAACTGACTTTTAAGGAAAGCTACAGAAGATGGAAGACATTGATTATGTCTGTTTTTGTGAAGTTTGGTTGGAACTTCACAAACCATATTGGTGTTTAGTGCTTCCCTTTGTGTGTCGGGCTCACTAGATGGGCTGAGCTCTATTTTACTTCATGCTTGGGTGAGTTCGCCTTATGTCGTTGACTTGTATCGTGACGCTCAGCTGTGTACCATCCACATATGGTAGAGGCTGGAACTTGGTTCCCTTATTAAAAAAAACTGACTTTTAAAATCATTAAGCATCGCATGCTTGTTCATGCATCGCTCCCAAAATTTTTAGAACATGCATTACTACATGCAACATGTGAAGTGGTGCTCCAATACTCTCTCCCCTCTTCAAGCTTCACTCTTAGCCCACGCTTCGGAGGGCCTTACTCCTTTAGTGCCTTGGCACCATCACCATGGCCCTGGATTTGACAATGCAAGGCCTCCATGCACGACCTCGAGTACCTTAGTGCGTCCACGAAAATGAGTTGGCTCATGAAGCCTTCCTGATGCAAATATATGGTGGTAACCACATATTAGGTGGAAACATGGAAATTAATTTTACTGACAATGCAAAAGTTGGGATACAAACTCAAAGTAGAAAAATTCATATGAAAATGACAAATTTTAGATGCATGTGCACTAGAAAAGCAAAATCTCATTGTTTTTGAAATTTTCAAAAGCAAGTTTGCGTCTTAATTCTTGCATGTGACTACATATTTGTATTCAAATTTTAAATTTTAATTTTTAATTTTATTGAATGACCAAACTATGTTTTTTAAATTGGGTTCTATGTTCTCCTTAGTATATGGTTTTCACCATATATATTTCCCTTGTTGATGACGGGGGTGAGAAGAGAATGGGGCACAGTGAAGGTAGAGTGGCACTAGAAAAACATTTACCAATCTCAGGTCCGCGCTATCACGCGTTCGGCGTTTCGTTGAAAACGCGAGTGACGCATAGATGGATATGAAAAACATGACGTCAGGAGCTCTTTCCAAAACATTTCCGATTTGTTATATGTCAATATTATGCCCACAACTTCAGGTTCAACAATGAAGAATACTTGCCAGTGTGTCACCTATGACTTTTTCACACTGACATGCTTCGATCGATAGATGTAACGAGTTGTAAATATCAAGGATAAAATTGCAGTCAAATATATAGTGATGACTTATAACATATAAGATGAGTCATGTCAATAAAACAGGGGCTACCCTCACTGAAAGTTTGACATTGAACATAATATAAAGCTCAACGGGATTTCAATTTCAATTAAGAATGACAGCCTCAATGAAATGTTGACAAGAAAGATGGCATAAAGCTAGCTCATTAACCGATTTTTCAGGAGTTATATACCCATTCTATATATGCTCAAAGGGACTAAGCTGTCGGTCTCTTCTATTTTAAACAATTTTGTGCCAAATACATCAGTCCTCGGGATCGGGGTCGGGGCTAGGCATATAGTAGTGTCGAGAATCAGCGACGTGGCCAGCAACATAGCGTGTCCCTTCTTGGTGCTTCATTGTAGGGGAACACCCATAGCAGTACTCGTTATCCATACCTGCTGTTCCCAAAGGTGGGAATACACAGTCCTTCATCTCCTCAAGGGTTTGGATACATTTGCCGCCTACAAATCAAATAATGCACAACCCACAATTTCAAATAAATGCTCCATTATCATATATATGCACCAAATAGATTTTTTAACCATTACAATGCTCAAATAGTCCTGCATTACATTTTTCGTTGTGCCACAAAACAGAGTGTACATTTTTCAAGAGTATTATGAGGAAAGCAACAAAACCTAGTAAATAAACCATTTATACAATGGTCGTTGAGCTAAAAACTAGTAGGATGCATAAACGATAAGGCAAACATATACTGGAATTTAAAACTACATCTGTATTAATTGGTCTAGTTGGAAAGAGGCCCAACAAAGTTTACTACGTATTACTCAACTACTAGGGCCTAGGGGATTAAGCCCAAACAGAAATATTAACACCACCAATGGAATGCTACTACATGTGGCTCCGTTCGCTTTGCTGAAAAAACAAGCCGAAATACTGTTCCGGCTGATTTGTTATGAGAGAAAAACACTGTTCCGGCTGAAAAAACAAGTTGAAAAAGACGGATTATAAAAGAAGCGAACAGGGCTACAGGCCATGGTAGAAGGCATATGCAGAAAACAGGTAACTACATATCCTAATAACTCATCTTTTCTATATAGTGTTAATTTGTGATGCTGCTAATCTCACAACCAGCCGTGTGTTGTTAATGAGCTAGCTTCATCGAAAATCAGAACAAATAACTTATAAAGACACGACCATTTACCAACACAACCAAACTAGCTCACATGTTCAAACAGAGCATATATTAGCCATGAATATCTATCCATCTTATAAAAGCACATGAACCAATGAGGTCACATACGACATACCGACATCAGAAAGTGAAACGGGGTGGCAACAAGTGACATCCTCCTCTTCAGGCGAAACACACACCATGATCTCACCAAAGAAGAGCTGTGAGTGTCCTTTCTTGTCCCGAGCATGAAAATTTAGGTGGTAGTAGTCACTGCCATCTTGCTCTCCAACAATAATGAGCCCAAATCCATGATCATGCTTGTGCACAAGTCAGTCTGTGTGTAATAGAAGAGATCGATGCTTAATTGTTGTTTATAACAACTTATCATGTACAACACCAATAATGTGTGACGAAGAACGTACGAGCATAGCACTAATACACATGGCACGTCCTTCACTTTAATTTGATTAGTTTTCCCAAATTCACCTAAAACTAAGCTCGGAGTATATCGTGTAGGCAGCAATTTGCAATCTAAAGTTCTAAACTACTCATAGATAAAAATGTAATGCTTGGAACTGGGCTAGACAGATGAATGAGATTACCTGGTACTTTGTGTTGTAGTGCTTGATGCAAGCCTTTGCATTGTTGCAGAAACGAGTATAACAAGCAACCGCATCATCTGGAGGGAGACTACGGAACACTTTGACGCTCAACTCTGCAATTGATGCCTCATCAGAGCTATCGTCCACGTTGTTGCTGTCGCACTGATCAAAAACCCCGACCTCACACGGGGGCTGCTGGACCCATGAGCCATTCTGAGGTGGGCAGAGTGCAGCCGGCAGCTGCTTGCTTGACGACCTGCCAATCATCCAATTACAGGAGGACGTGGGTTTAGCTAGGTCAAGCATGCTGAGAGGGTTTAGTTAAAAAAGGGTTGATATTGATATAAAAATAATAGCTAACTAGCGGGTATAAGATAAGAAGAATGTAGAGATTGAGGTGGATGAAGAGAAAATCAAAGTTTTGTCAAGCTACATACAGCGACGACGGCGACTTCCTCCTCATTTGGCGAGGGGTGGCATCCTCAGCCTCGTCACGAGACTTCCGTCGAAGCATCTTCAATCTACAAAAATTGCCAAGAAATTGAGCTAGGGCCTTGTTTAGATTGAAAAAAAATTCAACCCGATGAATAGTAGCACTTTCGTTTTATTTGTTAAATATTGTCCAATCGTGGACCAACTAAGCTCAAAAGATTCATTTCGTGATTTTCAACTAAACTGTGCAATTAGTTATTTTTTTTACCTACATTTAATGCTCCATGTAAACGGCTAAAAATTGATGTGACGGAGAGAGAGTGAAAAAACTTGGAATTTTGAGGGTATCTAAACAAGGCCTAGGTAAATTATATGACAACACTGCAACAGTAGCAAAAAATTGTTATGTCCCAACCGTATATATAAACTGAACTATAGAGAGACTTGAAATTTA